TGTGTGTGTGTGTGTGTGTGTGTGTGTGTGTGTGTGTGTGTGTGTGTACACGTACGTACATGTAGTACCAGTCCAGTTTTGGTCAGCTGTACTTCAGAGCCAGACTAAGATAGTTTCCTGCCTATTAATCAGGGCCACACAGATGAGCCTGCCTCAGGAAGTTTTGAATTGACTGCTATTTATACCCAGCATGTGGTGGAATGGGGGCTCAGGTCCCTGTTTAGTGGCAGGAAGCCTTTCAGCCAGTCTTCACATTTGAGGAAGTGCTTCATGGAGCTGAGTGAGTGAAGCCTCTGTGGAAGGAAGGATGAGAAAGTTGACTGCTGGTCTGTGTCAGGGGTGTGGTGGCAGAGATATGGGACAAGAAAATGGGTGCCTTTTGGTTGGAGTTTCTTAGGCAGCCTGTGTGAAATCCTGTGTTGCTAACAGGTCAGCTGAAATAAGGGTTGTGAAGGGCTAATAGTACCTAGAAACAGAAGACAAGAGGAGGAAATGAGCTACTGACGTGTTTGTGAACTGGTTCCTGTCTGCACTTGTACATACACTTTAAAATTACTTGATACAGTTCTGCTTCTGTGTGCTTTGTTTGTTTGTTTGTCTCTGAGACAGGGTTTCTCTGTGTAGCCAGCCCTGGCTGTCATGGAACTCACTCTGTAGACCAGGCTGGCCTTGAACTCACCTCTGCCTCTGCCTCCTGAGTGCTGGGATTAAAGCACCACTATGTCTGGCCTCATGTGATTTTTGTAATATTGCAGTGGTCCTTGTTTCATTAAGAGAAGTTTCATGAAGAAGACTGTATGGCTGGAGGTGTATGTAGCCCAGTGGCTGTGTGTTTGCTCAGCACGCGGAAGGCTCTGGGTTTGCTCTCTAGTCCCACATACACAAAAAAAGAATTGATTCATTGCAAAATAATGTTTGTAGTTTCCAGAGTATTAAATATAGCAGACCATTAAAGATGACAGCTCAAGAAATACTGCCAGAAACATTTTCTTAGTAAGATTGAGTTCATGGAGTTGAATTACAGGCACACTTTTTTTTTTTTTTAAACAAATGTGATGTAAATTATTTAGTGCTTGGTGGGCAGTGGTCATGGATTTTTAAAGTAAAAAATCCTGAAACTATGTTAATATTCTTGTTTCATCTTGATAGGATCATTCATGATACAGCTGTAGCTGTTTTCAACAAAGATCAGTGATGAAAACTGTTCTTTTTAACAAGATACCTCCAAGTTAAACATGGAAGGCAAATACTGGAATCGTTTCAGTTCTGACCAGATAAAGAATACAGCATTTTCCAGCTAACTTGGGATGGCGCCTTGCTAAGATTCATCACTTGCCATGCACCCCACCGGGAACATGGATGTTGGCTTTACTCGGTCTGCGGTTCAGACCCTGTCCAGAAGCCACTGCAAGAACATCAAACAGAAGATTTCCCAGTGGGAAGGAAGAGCTAATGGTGTAACTAGGCCAGCTAAGCTTCATCCAAAGGACTTCGGAGTGAGGTATAACTGCCAGCAAGAGAGTCCTCCTCACAAGTGCCCCCCTGGGGAGGAAAGGAGCCACTCTCAGAATGGGGGTTTACCCAGGATTGCAGACGCCAAAAGCCGTGATCAAAGTGGGGATAAAAGCGAGAGGCAAGAGTATACAGACGCCCACCCCTCGGAGAGTGACCCAGACTCCAGCTGGGTGTGTGCTCGGGTCAAACAGATTGAAAACTGGCATGCTGTCTCTGGTAAGGATCCAGAGGCTTCCTTACCGCCAGGAAACTTCTATACCTCACAGATACTGTGGAAGAGCATAGAAGCGCTTCCCCCAGATAAAGCTTTAAATGTGGCTTTAGCACCTTGTGACTCTACAGAAAAACAACCGAATTTCAGAGTTCTGGGTAGTTCTTATGGAACAACCAAAAGCTTGGAAAGTATTTATTGTGAACCCGAGGGGCAAGAATGTGGACCCTCTATAAATCCTCTGCCCAAACCTCGTAGGACATTCAGGTATTCATCTGAATCTGGCGGCGTGCCATATAAAGAAAGAAACTGTGACCAAAAGTACTGTGAGAATAATTCCTGTGCGGAGTCTTCTCTGGCTTCTTCTCAGGGTCCCGAACCAAAGAAATACGGTGGGAAGATCCGAAGGAGATCCAAAAGGTATGTGTTTGTCTTACCCCTCACGATTACAGTTGCATGATTTTTGAGCTGCTTTGCTTTTCAATCCGAGTTTCCCTTCCCACCGTGGAATACAGGCTTCCATTGGCATAGAGATGTTGATAGCACGGAGGGCAAGTAGAAGGGCAAAGCACAGGTGTAGAAATGCAGGCAGCACTAGTGACATTCTGCCACCTGACAGCCCTGAACACTTTGCAAGTAGCGTCTTCAAGAATTCCGAAGGTTGGGCTGGAGACATGGCTCAGAGGTTAAGAGCACTGACAGGTGCTCCTCCAGAGGTCCTGAGCTCAATTCCCATCAACCACATGGTAGCTCACAACCATCTATAAATTCTGACGCTGGGTGGGGTGGTGCATATCTGTCGCCCCACCATCAGGAATGGAGGCAGGAGGACCACCACCATTGGGAGGTTAGCCTGAGCTACCTAATCACTCACCAGCTTGACAAGGCATTGTCTTATCTCCCTTGCCCAACCACCGAAAAAGCTTTAGATAAGCAGATCCAAGCCAGGCACAGTGGCATGCCTGTGATCCCAGCACTCTGGGAGGCAGAGGCAGGTGGATCTCTGTGAGTTTCAAGTCCAGCCTGGTCTACAGAGTGAGTGCAGGACAGCCAAGGCTATACAGAGAGACTCATTGTCTTGGGGGAAAAAAGACAAGCATGTCCGTTCTTTGACTTTATTTAGGGCATGCTGGCCTCAGCCTCTCTTTTAAGTAGGGAGTAGTTCATGGCTCTGGAGAGATGGCTAAGCAGGTAAAAGCACTGGCTGCTTTTCCAGGGGAACCAGGTTTGATTCCCAGCATCCACATGGCAGCTTATAACCATCTGTAACTACAGGGGAGCTGATATCTTCTTTTGGCTTCTGTGGTCATCAGGGACACAAGTAGTGTATAGACATGCATGTAGGCAGAACGTATATACTCGCATACACACACAATTGTTTTGTTTTTGTTTTTGTTTTTGTTTTTTGAGACAGGTTTTCTCTGTGTAGCTTTGGCTGTCCTGGAACTTGCTCTGTAGACCAGGCTGGCCCCGAACTCAAAGAGATCCGCCTGCCTCTGCCTCTCAAGTGCTGGGAGTAAAGGCTCATAAAAATAAATGTTAATTAGGGAGTAAAGAATCTAATGATGAGCATGAGTGTGAACAGTTGAAAGCCTATAGTTTCTGTTACTTATTATTCTTACATTTCTGATAAAAAAAAAAAACCAACATTTTTTTGCAATGAAAAATTTAAAAAAATACATATTTTTTTGAGTCAGGGATATAGCCATGTCTGTCCCAGAACTCACTATGTTAACCAGACTGTCCTCAAACTCACAAAGATCCACTTGCTTCTCTCTCCCAAGTGCTGGGATTAAAGGTGTGCGCTATCTCTGTAATTTTACACACAAGTCTTTTTACTTTTTTGCATTCTCCTCGTATCATGTAGAGACCACTCTTTTTGTAGGTGTAACTTTAAAATCTATCTCCTTTCTTTAGGAAATCTTTTGAGTTTGAAGATATTCAGCACTTTCGGAACTCACGGAAGATTCATGACGAACTTGGAAGAAATGCTGGTTCAGCACTTTATTATACACAGTCTGAGGATAATATCTATGAGGATATTATATGTAGGTGACCATGCTTTGCAGTTAAATTTAATGCATATTTGGTGATGCCCCTCATTGTACAGTGTTCTTTTCTTTTATAATCAAACATACCTTGTTTTGACTTTTTTGTTTTTTAATAAATCTTCATTTTTTATGTTTTGGTTTTTTGAGACAGGTTTCTCTGTGTAGCCTTGGTTGGGCGGGATTCACTTTCTAGACTAGGCTGGCCAGGAACTCACAGGGATCCACCTGCCTCTGCCTCCCAAGTGCTGGGAATATAGGTGTGTGCCACCATGCCTGGCAACTTTGTTTTTCTAACATGGAAACATTCTGTGTATAAATGTTTTCATCTTTAACGTGTTTTACAGTTAGAATAATGGATGACTCAGTTAAGAATTAATGTTTCCAGTATAGTGTTTTGAAAGTTGTTTAGGTTGGTTGAACACTGGAGTGATGTATAAACTTAAAATGCTATTGCTCTTACAAGCTTACATCCCCACAAGAATGTAAAAGAAAGTCATTTTCACCCTTAGGTAAAGGCACTGTTCCTACTTAGTTATGTTCCTCTAAGTGGTGTTCATTGATTTTAAAGACCCAGCCAAGGAGAATCCCTACGAAGATATCCCTGTGCAGCCGTTTCCCATTTGGAGATCCCCTTCAGCATGGAGGCTGCCACCTGCCAAGAGCGCCTTCAGAACACCCAAGGTACACTGAGCGGCCTTGCTCATGAGCACGCTGGACTGTAGGATGCATGGAAAAGGCTACGGGTGCCATTGCTGATCGGGTAGGAAGGTGTCCAGGAGACTCACAACTTCGAGGCCTGGGAAGGTAGCCCAGTTCTGAGGTGGCGCATCGTCCAAGGGAGGGGTATCCTGAGACACAGGAGCCCAGGGACTGCATAGCTCTGAGAGGAGGCCTCCTCAGCAGAGATGTTGCAGCTCTCAGGGGAGGGCTGCCTCAACCTCTGAGGAGCTGAGGAGCTTGGGGCCTAAGCTCCAGAGAGTCACACCAGGCAGTACATCTCTTCAAAGAGACTTATTGGAGGGAATGAATCCAGGCCTGGCTGCCTCTGCTCCCAGGGAAAGGCAGCAGAGAACTGGGCAAACACAGCTTTTACATAGGATGTTTTAGGGGCGGAGCTTTCTAGGGCAGAAATTTCTAGAGTGAGGATTGGTGGGATTTCAAGTCCTGAGCTTGGGGAAAGCTTAGGGAATGGTGAGTTTTTGTTTAGCCTTTTCACTTCAAATTAGCATCATCTGGGAGGGGCTGGAGAGGACCACTGTGCCAGAGGCTGAACTGCCAGTTTGACAGTTAAAGAGGTGTGGGGGAGGGGCCTATTAACACACCCTAAGAGTTTACACAGATTTGAACTCTAAATATCTTTCCTAAACTATGGATTTATACTAAAGGGTCAGATTTCTAGGTCTGGTCCCTGCCTGGCAGTGTCAGACCATGTAAAGCTGCCTGCCTTGGAGGAATGGCTAGTTTATACATTGTTTCAGTTAAACATGCTTTCACACACACACACACACACACACACACACACACACACACACACACAC